CGGTCATCACAAACCCAACTATCTATGTTTCTAACAATCTAATCACCCACTCCTACCCCCTGCCTCTTCCTTACTGGCATTCCCTCCATCTCAGAGGTATCCTCAGTGCGAGAGGATACCGCAACATCGTCTGGGAGGAGGGTCCCAACTACGGGATGGTTTCCCTCTGCTCCCATTGAATGCTCTGTTCCCTTGAGACTTTCATCCTCCTTAAAAGCACTGGGGCTCTCAGACTGGAGGTGGGACAGTACTACAGTGTCCCGGAATGTCTCATCAACATAGCTCTGTACCTCCCTTAGTTCCTTCAGTTCAGCCACCCTGGCCTCCAAAGCCTGAACTCGGTCTCTGAGGGTCAGGACCGCCTTTGCAACGGGTGCACACATATGCCACCCGCCCACACGGCAGGTAACCATACATGTTACACTCGACGTAATAAACAGGATAGCCCCCACTCTGCTGCTGGGCTTCTGTCTCCATTTTTCTAATGAATAAGTTTAAGTATAAACTGGGATTCTTTTTAAACCTCTGGAATATAGATTATTATAAGAGTTATGTTTTAAAGAAGGTCAGAAGTCACTAGTGCCCTCTAATCTGCCTCTCCAAACTCCCTGTTAGCTGTTCCTGTTCGCAAGCTCCCTGGTCGCTGAGTCACAGGCTTATATAGCTCTGGTAGCCCCTCCCCCTGACTGAAGCTCAGCCAATTAACAGAGGCTTCTAGATTTCAAACCTTGTAGAAGCTCCTTCAAACAAACAAACAAACCAACCATCACACAAACACGAGCTCAGCACACAGCAAATAACTCCCCCACACACAAACACACACTCCAAGCAGCCACTTACCACAAGGGTCCCATTTTTACTCCTTGTACCTGGAGAACTCCCTCTCCAAACTCCCTGTTAGCTGTTCCTGTTTGCAAACCTATATATAGGATCATAGACTTCCAGTGTGCTCAGGCACAGACAGAAAGGGGCAGAGCACAGCTAGGAGAGCAGCAGAACCAGGAACCACCATGCAGCTCAGATAGGTTTTTTATTCAATTCCATCTGGGTATCAATTAATTCCTAACAACCATGGAACTTTGCAACTCTCAGGCATTTGGATGCAACTCTCTGAGTCTTAGGGTTCATGCCCCATCAGTTATGAAGTGCTGCATTAATGTTGTATCTGCAGCAGTGATGAGAAATACCAGTGTTTTGTCATGTTTATTTGAAATCACATTTTAATAATTTAAAAAATGCTTTACACTATTAGAGAAACCCAAATATTCTTGGAAAACATTTGTTTATAGCACAAGTAATTGTAAATTTACAGAAGGTAGTATCACAAACCAGAAAAGTGAAACAGACTGGTTTGCTTATGCGACAAAACACCCCAATAAAGTTTTGGCTTCCATAATAAATTGGGCACTTACATTAGGGATTATTTTTCATAAGCAACAAAGGCAGGATCAAATTCCTGGATTAGTACCTCACTGCTACCTTCTGCAGGTTCTGTTCCTTCAGTCCCCTCGTGTGCTGTTGGCCCTCCTCCCTTTTTTATGTTGCTGTCCTCTTGATACTTGCAGTTCATACCTTCATTAGTCTTCTCTTTAAATCATCTCAGAAACAAAAACTGTTTATTTGTTCCTTGGGGCCCCCTTTTTCTCATAGGAACTGCAATTTTATCTCTAATAATATTTCAGTGAGCTCACAGCACCATTTTCTCACTATTTCAGTGTGCACTGTAACTTTAAGCCTAGTTTCAATTTTTGAAGGTGGCAGGAAAAAATATATTTAATTTGTGGTGTTTAATTATAGTTAAAAAAAAAATCAACCATACAGTAAGAGTTAATCCATTTTAGAAAGACGCAGGATACCGTACTTTTAATTTCTGAAGCTTTAGGGAGTTTTATACTTTGTGCACAATTCCAAACTAGTGGAGATTTTAAATTTTTAAAAAATTAAGGGTTTTTACAATGCCCTGATTGTCAAAGTGCACTTGAGCTTGTGAACGTATTATTACATTCACACTTTAAAATTTGTTCCTATTAGATTTCACACATAAAGAATGTGATAACTCTGAGCTGACATTTCATTTGATGAAAAGCACCAAAAGCATAGCTTCCGTCTCACCTTTCACATGCCTGTCTGGAATCGTTGACGAGGATTTATTTGATGCTGACAATGTTAATGAAGTAAGTTAATTTATTTTTGTAGAGAAAGCCTTAGTCAGAAGGGGATGGGATGGATCACTTGATAATTAGCTGTTCTGTTCATGCCCTCTGAAGCATCTGGCACTGGCCACTGTCAAAAGACAGGATACTAAGCTACAGGTTGAAACTCTCTAAACCAGGACTCTCTGGTCTAGCAATATCCATGGTCTGTCAGGACCACAGATATTCCAGGAAGAGAGAGCCCTGTGGGCTGGCAAGGCAGCAGGCTGCCATGAGAGGTCGGGGAGCCCAGCATATGGCATTGGAGCTGCCCAGCATGGCATTGGAGCTTATAAGCTCTGGCAGTTAGGGTGTAAGTTAGGTCTACTGGCATGGCAACCCTAACTAACCCCAACATAGAGGAAATCAAAGCTGTGTCCCATTAATATGCAGCCCAGTGCAAGGACCATCATAGGCTGCATCAGGACCCATACTTCCATAATAGATTAAAGTAAATACCATGTCGGAGTTCTTTCAGAAGGTCTCAACACATTCTGGCTATGTCTACATTGCACTCTGTTGCGCAAGAACACATGCAAATGAGGTACATGCTCCTTATTTTCAGGCAGAACGGCTCTTGCACAAGAGGGGGTTTTTGCGCAAGGAGCATTGTAGACTGTTCCTTCTTGCACAAAAGTGGCGGCTCTTTAAGTATGCAAATGAGGCACGGCGATATTCATTGCCACACCTCATTTGCATATGTTCTTGCGCAACAGAGCGCAACGTAGACATAGCCCCTCTGTATTAGGGCTGTGTTAGTATACACCAGGGGTCGGCAACCCTTCCGATGTAGCATGCCGAGATTTAATCCTCCTGTCCTGGGACGCACCGCTCTCTTGGGCTCTCTCCACCACACAGCCCACTTAGCCTCTGATCCTGGGCTCTGTGGGGAGGGTAGGAGCAGCACATGAACACTTGGGTGCAGGAGCAGGCTGAGAGTAGGGTGTCTGAGTAGAGGGAGGGGTAATTAGCAGGCTGAGTGTAACGTGTCAGGCCAACAGGGAAGAGCAGGATAGAGTGGGGGTGCAAGGTCTCAAGCTTGGGGGGCAGAGAAGCAGGGGTGCAGGGTCTGGGCAGCACTTTTTTCCCCCCCATGTCTGTAACAGGATTTATTGATGGTAACAGTCACTCCCATGCGGCAGCTAGATGCTGCTCCACACACGGAATAAGTTAGTGGTCCATGAAGTGGGATGGAGGCCATGCCTCGCCAGGAGTGCAGGGAGTCCAGCCAGCAGGTCCGGGCATGCTGGCTAGGATCCAGCCTGCTGGCACCTGGATGACAAACTCAGTGACCCCACAGGGTTCTCTAGCAGATGGGAGTGCAAGGTGCACACGGGAAGTATGAGGCGGGGGCAGAGCAGCAGGGAGAGGGCCATGCCATAGAAGCAGGTCCTTCACAAAACAGATGGCGTCTAAGTCTGATTTTGCCCAGTGAGGTGCTCTCAGGCTCCCTGTCCCAGGCATGGCTTCCCACTGCTCCATTGGCCGGCTTTCTCCCTGATCACACAGCAAGGCTTAGGGCTTTCTCTCCCCACGTGTAAATGTGTAACTGCTGAAAATTTCAGCGGTTACATGTTTACAACCCCCCCCTACTTTTTAACATCACTCCAGTGTATGTTGGTCATCAGCCACCCCACATTCAGAAACATCTCATAGATACAGGTACTGTTGAATACCGAGTGAGCAATCAGGGCAACCCAGACCATATTTGCTATGTAAGTATTGCAACAACACAGGGCCTTTGTCAACATCTATACATCTCTGGAGATCTGTTATAGAGCCAAAACAAGACTTCAACATAGAAAGTGAAACAAACTCCACATGTGCAAATGATCTGTTATATCAAGAAACCCACAGAGACAACATAATCCTAAATTTTCAGAATGACAGCTGTGATAGCCATGCAATTCCTTGCAGCAATAGTCTAAAATTCTAGATTGCATACAACAATTAATGACATGCCAAAAGTATCATTAAAAAAAAACATTTGAGAAAAGAATTGCTGTGCTTTATTTTCTCAGGCTGTCTTGCGTACAATTGGTGTTAATGTCAGAAATGCTCCTCTGTGTTGGTTGGAGAAATATGATAATCAAGGAAGAAGAATGCCACTGAATGCTTATGCTCTTGATTTCTTTAAACATGGTTCCTTGGTTGCACTGAAAACAGATAATTGGTATGTATTTTTTTTGTTTAATTTGAACACTGCTGCCAAGCTATAATGGGCCTTTTGAACATGGGATATAAGTTAACTGACTGCAATAGCACAGCCACAAAATAAAAGACAGAATCCTTCCCTTATGATTATCCAGTAGCCAGAATTTTTCCATATTAAAATACTAAGTTTCTAGTACTTATAGTTACAAATTTTCAAATGTGAGCAGTAGGACTCATTTAAGTAGTGTGTTAACAGTCACACGTAAAAAAAGGTAATTTAAATGTCAGTTCCTGATGACAACTTCAATTCCAATCATTTTGGCTAATGTACACTAAGCTTACTTTTCAAATCACCTCCAACCACGCCTAAAATGCTCACACTGTCACCATCTCCTCTCAAACCTGCTAAGATTTCCAGCTTCCCCTGACAACTGAGGCCTGGTATACACTAGAGTTAAGTCAATGTAATACCACTTACTCCCTAATAATGTCAGTGTCTATACTACATTATTTCTTCCACTGATGTAATTTGCCTGCAACATTAACTTAATCAGTGCAGAAACTACATTGCTTATGTTGACTTAACTGGCCTTTAGGAGCTGTCCCACAGTGGTCATTGTGACTGCCATGAACAACATTTTCATCTCTGTTTCAAAAACAGACTGCAAAGAGAAACTGCTGAGTTGGAATTCATATGCAAATTTGACACAGTCAAAAGAGATTTAAATAGAAACATGGAATGGCTCTCACATTACAATAGGTAACTTCCCCTTCACGTACACTCACCTTTTCATCACTGTTGATGAGCCACATCCACTCAGATTTAACTAACACTAATGTCACAGTCTCATCTGTGTCCCTTCCTTTCTCATCAAGCATCTGAAGAAATGAGTATCTCACAAAAGCTTATGCCCTAATAAATGTGTTAATCTTTAAAGTGCCACTGGACTACTTGTTTTTGCTGAAATAGACTAATACGGCTACCCCTCTGAATCTATGTAGCACACCAGCTTGCCATACAATAATGAACTATGTGAATCCTGCTACAGCACACAATGGATCTTTTAGAGCACTGTACCAGGGTCAATATAAAACCTGACTGCACACCAGCCTAGCATGCTGTAAATAGTAGGGATGTAAAATTTTGATTATTTGGATAATTGAATAATTGATACAATTTGCATCAACTATTTGATTAGTTGACAAGGCCACTTTGGCCTTTAAAGTGTAGCAACAGCTCCAGGGCTGTTGCTACACTTCAAAGGCGAAAGTGCTGTGGGGAGCATGGTCAGCGACAGCATCGCATGAAGCCCAGGGTCAATGGGGGAGTCCCAGCTGGCCCCAGGCTACACGTGGCATTTCAAAGCAGCAGAGCCGCATGAAGCCCAGGGGCTGGTTCCAGGTTCCACGTGGCACTGCCACTTTGAAGCACCCGCTCCTCTTTCCCCCCTTGCTGCCTCTGATACAGGCAGCAAGGGGGAGAGGAGCAACTAGTCGACTAGCCTGTCGATTAGTCATTCACATCCTCAGTAAATACACACCTTAGTTTGCCACACACCTACTTACCATGTAGGCTAGCCCTGAGTTCCTCTGAGAGGCTTAGTTCTCCCTTGCTGCCAATAGTGAACGAGGTTAACTTGTACAATTACCTATTTCCTCCCCCTCCCATCTATGTATACTTGTCTGCCTTTAAATTGTTAGCTCCTTAGAAATAATCCACCGTCAAATGTTTGAAAAATACTTAGTACATTGTTCATTGTAGAATCATAAACTTGGAATGGGAGTCCAAGGGGGTCATGAAGGCCAGTCCTCTGCACACATGGAAGGACTTTTTTTGTATCTAGACCATCCCTGACAGTTATTTATCTAACCTATTCTTTAAAATCTCCAATGATGAAGATTCCATAGCCACCCCAGGCAATTTATTATAGTGGCTAACCATCCCAAACAGGAAGTTTTTCCTAATGTCCAACCTAAATCTCCCTTGCTGCAATTTCAGCCCATTGCTTCTTGTCCTATCAGGATGGAGAACATTTTTTTCTCCCTCCTCCTTTAACAACCTTTTATTTACTTGAAAACTGTTATCACATCCCATTCTTCTCTTTTCTAGACTAAACAAACCCAGGTCTTTCAATGGTTCCTCATAGATCAGGTTTTCTATACCTTTAATCATTTTGTTTTCTCTGGATTTTTTTCTAATTTGTCCAGATCTTTCCTGAAATGTAGCACCCAGAACTGCCACAATACTCCCGTTGAGGCCTAATCAGCCTGGAGTAGAGTGGTGCTTGGCATGTCTTATTTACAACACTCCTGCTAATACATCCCAGAATATTTTTTTAACTTTTTTTTGCAACAGTGTCACACTGTTGATTCATATTTAGCTTGTGGACTGCTATGGCCCTCAGTTCCTTTTCTGCAGTACTCCTTCATCGGCAGTCATTTCCCAATTGTTCCTTCTTTAATGGAGTACTTTGTATTTGTTCTTATTGAATTTCATTCTGTTTACTTCGTAACGTTTTTGCAGACCATTTCAAATTTTAATCCTAGCCTTCAAAATACTTGATACCAAGCTGGGAGGGGTTGCTCTGCCAACTTTATAAATGTACTCTCTTCCCCTATGAATTATTGATATTGAACAGAACCAGGCCAAGAATGGAACCCTGCAGAACTCCATTTAATATACTCTTCCAGCATGACTGAACCATTGGTAACTACTCAGGGAATGATTTTCCAAACAGTAAAGCAGCTTGTATTTCCCATGTTTGTTTGTGAGACAGTCATGGAAGACAGTGTCTTACTCAAGTCAATATATACGACATCTACTATTTTCCCACTAACCACAAGGCTTGTTATCCTATCCAAGAAAGCTATCTGGTTGATTTAAAACAGGACTGTGTAGCACTTTAAAGACTAACAAGATGGTTTAATAGATGATGAGCTTTCGTGGGCTAGACCCACTTCCTTAGATCAAATAGTGGAAGAAAATTGTCACAACCATATATACCAAAGGATACAATTAAAAAAATTAACACACATGAAAAGCACAAATCAAATTTCAGAACAGAAGGGGGATGGACGGAGGGGAAGGTAAATGTCTATGAGCTAATGATATTAGAGGTGATAATTGGGGAAGCTATCTTTCTAATGGGTAAGATAATTAGCGTCTTTATTCAAATTTGAGTGTAAAGTGTCAAATTTAAGCATGAATGACAATTAAGAGGATTCTCTTTGAAGTGAAGTCTTAAAAGGTCTTTGAAGCATGGTTTCAGGTAATCAAGGCATTGAGACAATGTCCTTTCTTGTTGAAATGGCAAGAAACCTCCCCCCCCCCATCCCCCTTCTGTTCTGAAATGTGATTTGTCCTTTTCATATGTGTTCATTTTTTTTAATTGTATCCTTTGGTATATATGGTTGTGACAATTTTCTTCCACTATTTGATCTGAGGAAGTGGGTCTGGCCCCCGAAAGCTCATCACCTATTAAACCATCTTGTTAGTCTTTAAAGTGCTACACAGTCCTGTTTTTTGTTTCAGCTGCACCAGACTAACACTGATACATTTCTACCACTAATCTGGTTGATTTGATATTGTTTGTTCTTGATAAATCCATGCTGTTAGTTATCACCTTTAGTCTACAATTCCCTGGGTTACCCTTATTTCCTGTTTTATAGATTGGCACTATATTTGCCCTTGTCCAGTTCTCTGAAATCTCTCCAATCTTCCAGGACTTTTCAAAGATAATTGCAAATGTCTCATGTCTCCACAGTCAGGTCCTTTTAGTATTCTAGAATACATTTTACCAGGACCTAGTGACTTGAAGACATCTAACTTGCTTAAGTCATTTTTAATTTCTTTCCTCATTTCAGCCTCTGATCCTACCTCATTTTCACTAGCTTACTTTGTGGTGAAAAGTAAAACAAAGAAGTCATTAAGCACTAGGGATATGAAAGTATAACTATGTACACGGTTAACTGGTGAGCCTGAGCTCATCAATTAACCATCAAGGTTTCACATAGGCTCCCAGTACACACAGCTCCTTTTAAATCAGCTCTCCCCTCCCCTTGCTGGCTCAAGGGAAGCCATCTCCTCCCCCACCCCAACCACACACCTATCTCTGTATCCGAGGCAGCAGCATGGGGAGGGAGGGAAAGGAGGCAGAAAGAGGACAGGCAGAAAATTGTGCGCACAGAGGGTGGGCTTAAAAGCCTGCCTCCCCATCCCTGTAACTGTTGAAGTTTTCTGCAGTTACATATTTACTTAAATAAATTTTAACATTCCTATTAAGCACCTCTGCCACTTCCACATTTTCTATTATTGTTCCCCACCCCCACTCAGTAATGGGCCTAGCTCATCCTTAATCTTCCCCTTACTTCTAATGTAGTGCTCACACTTTTCTATTCAAAATAATTCTAAAACAAAATAACTCAACTATGGGGCAATGCAAATCACTTTTATATAAAAAATGAATAGGGTACTAAAATTAAAATTTGTGATCTGAACTTGCTGCAAAACTTCCAGTCCTCTGCACAGAGTATTGCACAAATAACCCAAGAGCCTTTCTGCAGAATGTAGTTTATCTATCTCTTCCTATTCCAAATGTAGACGTAAGACTGAATTCCACTTTCTTTTATAGCCGGGATTGGTTTTCTTTTGCAGACGGTTCCAATTGTTGTTTTCTATCCAATAAAATTCACAAATGCATTAAATGACTAATTTCCCCATATGTTTTTACTGTCATGTGACTGTTTTGAATGTTTAATATGCTAAGCATGCTTGAGGAAATGTGTAATCTTACTGTCTGTACAGTAACTATGTTGTGACTGAATTAGAGCTCTCATTTATAAAATTAATGTCCTATTAATCTGCTAAAGTTACAGTTTTTTGCTCTTTGTGGCTTGGCATAAGGGTTGTCTGTATAATCTGAGTTTTGCTTACCAGATGGGAGAGAAGACATTTATAAGAGAAATGTAATAAGTGTCCTTTTAATAATAATTTAAAATTAGATATTTCCCCCCGTTACTAGGTTAAATGAAGGAGATGCTTACAATCTACTCAAAGATTTTTCACTACTTATTAAAGCAATAAGGTAAGACATACATATGTACTAACAAAAACCATTTAATGTTTATTTTTATATCAAGCAATTTTAACAGTAATTTTTCTAAAACACAGAACTTCATTAGGTGAAATCTGTGACGATCCAAATGACAACGTTGTACTTGCATTTCAACAACTGAGTGAAAGCTACAGTGCAAAGCTGGCTGCCCAAGGAGGTCATACCTGGTAAAGTATGAAGAAAGGATAGTACAAGTCTTCCTGCTTGCATAGAAAATAGGCTAGCAGCTAATTTAAGTTAAGTGGCAAATTATCACTGTTCTCAAACACACTTAGAATAAAATTACAGTAAATATACAGTGCTTTAGTCAGTGAGAAATCAGCACATTTTCTTTTAATTAGAATTATAAATTATTTTAAAAGCTTGTCATATACTTGGGATGTTTAATTTAAAACAGTTAAATTTAAGATTGAACTGTTTTAACAAATGATGTAACTAGACAATTGTATCTTTTTCAAATTAAAATTTGTGTTTTAGCCAGTGAGGTTTTTTTTGAAGCAGCTATAATAAAGTCGAAACCCTTCACACTTCTAGGAACAACTACTTGGAGCTCACTCTCTACCAGTGATTAACAGACAGCTATAGGGGATACTCAAGTCATTATACATTTTAAAAAAAAAAGTTAAACTGCTGTGAGGATGGTCTCTTGCAACAAAGGTCAAATGGCTTAACCTTTAATTTGAGTCTCAGAGGGGCTGCGTTTGAGCCGTGACCCAGACTATTTCCCATCTGGAACTTCGAGTGTAGATATGGGGGCTTCCTGTCTCTAACTCTGGGATAAACCTGTTCGGTAACAGTTTCTCAGATTATAAAAAAAAGAAAAAGAAAAAAAAAGGAAATTTGCTGCCACCACCCAAGTGAAATTTTTTTTTAATACACGCGCACACACACACTTGACAAATCCGCTTATCTACTCCCTACTTACACATTTCCAAGGAGTCCATTCCTGGGAGAGTCCAACTCCTTTATTACCTGGGGAAAACACTGCTCTGATTTCAAACTCTCTCTGTTTGAAATTCCTATCTGCATTTCATTGGCTGAATCCCGAGGCCCCTCCCTCAGGTGCATTTTCAGAGTTACTTAACCCTTTCCTTACTCTTCAGGTAAGTTAGACTCTCCTTAGCAGCTCCTATTCATGATAGTCTAACTTTAAAGATGAGTAGTCCTGTGGCACCTTGGAGACTAACAAATTAAATGTAGGCATATATTCATCTCCAAGGTGCCACGGGACTACTCAGTGCCTTTTGTTTACACATACTTCAACACCATTATCTGATTTGCTTTCCTTTCATATGACCTTTGTGACGGGGCAAATATGCCCAGCACTGAAGGGAATGGGGTTAAGAATCTGGGGGCAGATGAAGTCCCGCCCTTCTTCCCAGACTGGGTGTTCTCCAACTGCTGGACCTGTATAAAAGCCAGGATAGGAGTTCACTCTGGGCAGACTGCCAGCAGGGCTGGAACTCGAGCACCCCCAGGAGCTGCCACAGTAGCCCCAGCAACAGCCCTGACACCAGGGACGGTAGGAAGCAGCCGAGGGCGGACATTTGTCTCTCTGGGAGCTCAGTGAGTTTCAGCGGGACGCCCCGCTGAGCAGGCAGTGGAAGCATTCACTGCCAATAGGGCCCTGGGTTGAGACCTGGAGAACTGGGAGGGCCCGGGTCCCCCTACCCTACAACGCTTACCTTCCTGATTTCCAGGGGAGACTTACCAGAGGCATAGATCTCCAGGCAAGAAAGCCTTTCAGAGCACAGACCTTTCTGAACTATGCTGGTGGGCCGTATCTCCTGAGCAAGGGCCACTAAAAGGCAGGTTGAAACCACAGGGGGAGGAGGAGGAAGGGAGCACCCCGTGACAACCTTGTGTATATATAATGCTATGACAATGGAGCTATCCCTACTCTGCAAAAAGTTCCTACATGACATCTGCAAGTTAACTAGCAGTAAGTTGTTCACACCAGTCTTATGCTATGTGTTAGCAGGTGGACTTGGTCCATGTCTATACCCATTTATGTAAATAACTGCAACCACTTGAGTGATAAAGCTTTTATGGAAATACTTAATTTCAGAATATCCAAGTAGAGGTTTACACCAGTTAATAAAGGTGTTCTAAAGACAAGTCTGGACAGTAGGAGGGTCCCTGTAAAGAATACATGATTTGTATTTTAGTGAAATGATTTTTGGAAAGGAAAGGTCGGGCCTATCAATCTTGGCAATGGTTCCTAAATAAATTCTTAACTTTCATTACTCATAATGGACAAATGTAACAGATTCTA